TTATTTTGAGCAATAGTCCACAATGAGGATATAATTTAATCCATCAAAGTGGAAGAAGTCAGTGGCTACTATTTGCTATGGTCTTTTTTACTGGGATCTCATATGGCATCAGGGTCTGATTGTTCTGCATCTTTTGGTGTTCCTGGTACGCATGACATCGCTGGGTCTATGTCTTGGATGATGTTGTGCCAGAACACACAGCTTTTAGCTCTTAACTTGCACTTTTCGATTCCCTGATGGCCATGGTGGATCTTGTGAAGTACCTCTTCTTGCATGGGTTTTGGGATAATGATTCGCTCAGCCTTGAGCAAGATCCCATTTTCTATGGCTAGCTCAACCCGATAGGGCCAGTATGGTAGCATATCCTTGTCAACTTCTTTGACTGCATCGGGCCAACCTTGTAAGATCATGTTCCTTAGTTTGCACATTGTTGGGTCAGCATTAGATGCCTGTTGAATCTGTGCTAACTTTTGCGCTGAAAATTGCAGAAAATCGACCTTAATGTCCAGATCGATTGCCTTTTTCACTCTCTTGTTTGGGAGCCTGGAAATACCATCCGCTAGTGCCATTTCTTTAGCTGGGCGATAGACAATTGTCATGTGATACCATTGTAGGCGTAATAACATTCGCTGGAGGCTAGGCGGGGCTGCAGTCAGGTTTTTTTTAGGTTTATCATCTCTAGAGGCTTATGATCGCTTTCCACTTGGAAGGCACAACCATAGAACGCTCACACCCAAACACAACAGCTAGGAGTTCCCGCTCAATATTAGCATATCGTTGCTCTGTTTCCGTTAGTGATTTCGATGCAAATGCTATGCGTTTTCCCTTCTAGAGCAAAGCTGCACCTAGGCTGCACATTGGATGCATCTACCTAGATCACAGTTTCTTTTTCATAGTACATCAGCAGCATTTCTTTAAAAATCGGGTTTTTGATTTTTTGCAAGGACTTCTGGTGACTTTCAGTCCACCTGATTCATTTTTTAGTAGATCACTCATCGGTGATGTGAGATCAGAGAGATGTGGAATGAAGGGTGCAATATAAGTAATGATTCCTACAGTGGCGTAGCTAGAGTAAACGTCACCCGGAGTGGTCCGCTCAAATGTCACCCCAATGACCCCGATTCACCCTATGCTGAATGGTTAGCTGTAGCTAAATCTTCATACATGCTCTGCCTCTACTTTACTCTACTGACCGGTACGTTACTGTTTACATGTATGATCCAAGACAAAGTCCAATATCACAAAATAATCAGTTCAAATCAAAAGATTTTTAAAATGCAACTGTTCACTTTCAGAACAACTAAATACAAAACACGGCAATACACAAAAGAATAACATTCGATACTATGGTCTTAGAATGAATGTTTTCTTGTTTTCATTGTGGCAAACTGGTCAATGACATCGTCAAAATCTGTTTGTCTTGTAAGCTCGTTTTCAATGGACAGCACAGCCAGATCCGACAGTCTCGACTGGCTCATGGTTGACGTAATTTTCTGTTGCTAATTTTCCGGTGTCCAATTTGTTATAGACAAGCGTATGGCTGCAAGAAAGAAATACGACAACAGCAGAAATAGATTTACGTGGTTTATTTCAACAGGAACGTGCGGGTTGGGGCAGCTACCTTGAGGTAAAGTTCATAAGCTGGCTTCAGATCTAGATCGATCTCTCATAGTAGTTCACACATGTTGACGGTGGTTGATGCTCCCCGGCTGCTGATCGCTCGGCCTGACCGTGACAGGTCTGTTGACTGCCTGTTGAACTTCCGTGTGACCCCTTTTATAGCATTTTTTATGGCTTAACAGGCTCGAAAAACGAAGCGAGTATAATTAGGAGGGAAGCATTTTTATTGGACGAAAAATAGAACACTTTAAATATTATTTTATTTTTCGACCGGAATTCGTGTGTCGGGAAAATTTGTAAACGAAGATAATGGTCATTTCGTGACGGGGCTTTGTCCCGTTCACATCCGGCTCTCGCTCTTGAGTATTTGCCTGTAAATCAGCCGAGATATGTCTTATTTTATTTTATAACAAATTTTCCGTTGCATCCTTTTCTGGGTATCATTTACTTATCAATGATGTTTGAAAGTATTTTTCTTGACAAAAATGTTCTATTTAATTTTTAAGCATTTTTCGGAACATTGTAAATCAACTGCATTCTTTTAAAAAGGTTACCTAGAGAATTTATGCAAAGTTTATTTTTTGTTTTTCTTTATACAAGTAAAATAAATTTACATCGTATTTTGATGTCATTATGATTTTAGTTTTAGTGATAATTTAAAAACAATAAATATTTATCATTAGTACCAATAATGGAAAATTAAGTTAAAAATTTAAAAGAATCGTTTAGGCACAAATTTTTTCGATACCGTTTCCGATACCCCCAAAAGTTCCGATTTTTCCGATTCTCGATTCCGATTCTGATTAACGTCCCAACACTAGTAGATATATTCAAAAGTATATTGCTCACTCAATGGAAAATTGTATCTCAGCGAATTGATACACAGGCAAGACTGAAATTGTTGCACTTTTGGCTTCATATTTCGCTTTGTTGTTATTAATGATGCAGAGTTAAAACACCATATCATCCGATCAAATGTTACAACAATGTCTCTTGTTAGTAACCAAGATTGTAGCAACTGAAACACATGAAAACTGAAAACATTGCTATTTTTCCTACTCACAAATTTCCCGACAACTTATTAGAAAATTTCTGACGGGGGGACAAAACTGAGGGGTTATAAATTATTTCTGGGGGGTTATATGCCCGCCTGCGAAACCCTGTGTCTCCACCACTGTTTTCAGACTATTTTTAGCACCGCTGGTTGAAAAATTTTGTTGGGGTGACATTGTGTCACCCCTCCTGTGCTGGCACCCGGGGCGGTCCGCCCCCTCCCCCCCCCCCTCCCTAGCTACGCCACTGGATTCCTAGCACTCTTTGTAGGTCGGCGATGCTTTTCGGGCTGTGTAACATTTTGATTTCCTCCACTTTTTGGGGGTCAGGGTGTGCTCCGTTTTTGTCATATATGGCACCCAAAGAAGTGTATCTGCTTTTGGTCTATTGTGCATTTTTCGCTGTTAAACCTGAGCCCTTCAACCTGCGCTATCTTCATCAGGTTGTGAAGATTTCTGTCATGTTTTTTTTTTTTTTTTTTTTTTCCATAAGCTATGACGTCGTCTATTAGTCCTAATGTACCAGGGTATTCCTCCAGAATCATATCCATTTTCTGTTGGAATACATCCTAGGACATAACCAGGCCAAGAGGCATTCTCTGGAAGCAATACCTTCCAAAACGAGAGTTAAAGGTGGTCAGTAGCTGTGATTCAGGATCAAGCTTGATCGACCAGTATCCATTCTTCGCATCCAATTTGGAAAAGTACTTGCCAATATTTTTACTCAAGTCTTCATTTTATTTTTTGTCGTCATTCGATATCTGTTTGTTTGCAGAACATACCATCCTCCACATGCCTTTTCATGACATTTTGGTCAGGTGTATACTCAAGGAGTTGGTTGTTTGACTGATATAGGTAATTCATTCATGACAAGAAACACAGTCATGTACTGTGCAGTGAGATTGATGCATTATTGGTCATCGATAGTTTTTAGATTTGACAGTATTATTTTGATTAGTGACAAGCTAAAAATATTCCGCAAAACGTTGAAAAGAAAGGTTGCTGCCCTCAAAATACAAGGTGTACGACTTGGCAGCAAGAATTCTCTCAAACCTGTTTTGTTTAAAATGAATATGCTTGTCTATAACAGCATTTTGCTTAGTTATTTTTATTTTACTTTACGGAGGTTTTTTTCTTTGGACTCTGAGCTTGGATTCTGGTCGATTATTTTCATCAAAATTACACGTTCCTAAGTCTTTCTTTTTTTATTGCTTTAGTTATTGATTTGTTCATTTACAAGCCAATACACCTGAGGTTTTTCCGGACGAGTATAAGATTATATATTATTTGACTCTCCCTTCGAATTCGACGTATGAGATCAGTTCCTAGTAAACCAACAGCCCGACAACATCACATGCAGGACTATCCGCACTTTTTGAAGGGCCGAATACAGAGACCTGGTGCACTACGTGCTACAAACGACCCTCCGCAGGTTTTGAATTCAGAGTTGCCCATCCAAGGCTATAGAACCCAGTCTGTCCTGCTATTTACCCATAGCTGGAGGGAAAAGAAGAGGATTCACATCTTTCCCAAGGTTATTAGCACGCAAGTGAATGTAATTGGATTCGACTCAATCCAAGCCGCTTACACCACCGTGCCTTTTATATATATATACATTAAGAATTGGACAAAGTCCGACAATTTATTAAAGACATTTTTATGTTTAACATTCTTTTTTTATAGATACAAGTATTTAAGTAAATGCTCTGTTTTATAATAAACAGTATTAAATAACATTTACCGGCTTGAATGTCCGAGAAATTTTCATAGAAAATATTCGTCCTTTGACAGGATTCGAACCTGCATCCTATACGGAATCGTCATTTACGCTGACGTGCCTTAACCGACTCGGCCACAAAGGAGCGTTCGGTAGGCAAGGTCGTTATGAATGTACGAGATTCATGGAAGATTGAAGTTTATAAGCAGCAAATTCGACCTTGCCTACCGAACGCTCCTTTGGGTCCGAGTCGGTTAAGGCACGTCAGGGTAAATGACGGTTCCGTATAGGATGCAGGTTCGAATCCTGTCAAAGGACGAATATTTTCTATGAAAATTTCTCGGACATTCAGGCCGGTAAATGTTATTTAATAAAACAGAGCATTTACTTAAATACTTGTATCTATAACAAAGAATGTTAAACATAAAAATGTCTTTAATATATATATATATATATTACTATGACGAAATTATAAATAACAGTAACTGTAAAACGAATATTTTATATAGTCAATTTTTAACAGGGTATCTTTTTATATGAGACCCAACCAAAGAGGACATTTTTATATAACACCGCTTTCTCGTTAATGCTGATGTTGACATTTTTTAGATATGTGTTCAAGACGTAAGTAAAGTAATATATTAAATTATTTATGTATTATCAATTATTTGTTTAAATATTTGAAGCAACAAAAACGTTCAAGCCATTTTTATAGTTAAAAATAAGAATATTGAGATTAAGAAAAAAAACTGAAGGCCTTTTTTTCCCCCCGATCCTGGATAATATTCACTTCAGGATATGGAGAACAAAAAGTAAATTAAAGGAATAGTTTCATTTTGACTCAAACTGTGTCCAGACATGTATGTGTCGCTTGGGGTCGTGTTAAAAATATGACGTGTATTTATTTTTTTTATTATAGCTAATCAATCAAATTTAATTAAACTACTAACTAAAAAAAAAAACAACAAAAAAACGTGCCCCTGACTAAAAGAAAAGTCTAAATTTTGATTTTCACATTTAGTATTAAAAATGTGTGGGATTAAATATCCGCTATATTAATATACCGCCACAGACTTAAAAAAAAAAAAAATGAAAAGTTGAAAACACATTTTAATTTAAAATAAATTCCGTCTTCCTTTGAGTTTAAATTTCGGTTCTAAATTCTTGAATGATAATGGCCTACGCTAAAGAAAGCTAATCCGAATTAAAAGAATAATTAATTTCCGTATATAAATAAACTTTTTAATTTGTACGTTTTTTCGTCACTCATCGAACCGCCATTATATACGAAAAATGTAAACATAAAAAATAAAAATTCTCTTTAAAATCTAATATTGTCCTAGGGATGTGTTTTGAAGTCTATAAATTCAAGGATTTAATTAATTAGATTTTCTAAAGGTAATACTTACCTTTTACTTAAAACAAAATGAAAATAACGTTTTATTTACGCACGGAAGCCTGTGATTCAAAGAACAAGATAAAAACTGTAACTTGTAATTCCACCCCTGTCCTAAAGAGCGCGCGAAAAAGTTAAAAAAAGAAATAGGGAAGACCAGCCATGCAGTAATCAAGAATTTGGTATTTTATGTTTAAAAATAAACTTTCTTTAACCATATATAAACAATATTTAAGTATATAATTTTTATTAATTTTCAAACTTAGTATAATGAATGAATTTGAAAATATAGTGTAAATGATGCAATTTGCATTAATGTGAAAAGAAAAGCAAAAGAAAAACGTTTATTCTAAGAATAAATTTTAGAAAAATGACAGTAAGTATTTAAAGTACTTTTTATGTAAATGCAGAGCAGCAACCCCAAACATTTTTATCAATTGTAGTATTTTTTACAGGGTTTTATTTTAACAAAATAGAATAAAGAACAAAACTATCAAAACAAGGAGGTACTGGAAATTTTAAATGATATTGCCACTAAGCATGTTAGTCTATTTTGATAACTTATGACTAAATTCTAAATCCCCTCCTGCCCCCCCCCCCAAAAAAAAACATGTCTCTACTAAGGCCCTGAAATGAAATAGATCTGTCGTAAGTGTCAAAATTTTCTTGATGATGAAGGAACAAATTATGCAGAAAAAATAAGACAGATTTGTTTTTAGAGTAATAAAAACTTAAAATAACTTACATTTAATTAGTGAAGTAATTATTGGTTATTCCTGTACACAAAAATCTGTAAATAAATGCAGGAAAGCAGATATGAAAAAAAAAAAAAAATCTCCATACTGATGGATAGGGAAATATCATTTTCAAGACATAAAAGCTGACCGAGCAGGAGATATGAAATTAGAATATCAGAATTATTTCTTTTTGTACATCCAAACAAAAAATTATCTAACAGTTGCTAAAAAGAAAAAGTAAAATTTCTTTTTCATACTCAAAAATGGCATTGAACTTTACATTGTCTAAATCTTCAAACATGTCTTTATTTAATAAAAGAAACTCTTGTGACAAACAACATGGTGAATTTCAAAATTGCATTGAGAAATTACAAGTATTTTTTAAACAAATGTTAAGTGTAAATTTTTTCTGTCTAATCTAAAAGGAAATAACGTTTTATGAAATTATGCAAGAATAAATTTTTTGAGTTTTATTGAATTATTATTGATAAGATATAGGACAAATTTTCTGTATGTTCACATTTGATATTGCATAAATTTTTTACTGAAATAATATCTTCAGGGATTTTTCTTTACATATGAGGGTTAGCTGAAAAGTTCATAGGCTTACCAAGATGCTCTCACAGAATTTGACCAAATGTGGTTTATTCTTTAACATAGTCCCCCTTGCAGTTCACACACTTCTTCATTTGTGTTGCAGTGCTTGGGTTCCATTTATGAAGAAGCTTTTGTTTTGTTGGTCAAAAAACGTCATCAATAGCAGATATGACATCATCATTACTGTGATACTGGTTCCTAACCAAGAGTTTTTATATGTTGGAGAACAGATAATAGTCATATAGGGCCAAATCAGGGGAATAGGGAGAGTGAACCAGTTCAAAGCCACAGTCCTGCACAGCAGCCATTAAAACCAAGGACTCGTGTGCTTGGGCATTTTCCTGATGAAACAAACCCTTTTGTCAGTTTTTCTAGGCATTTGGTCTTGACAGCCTTTTGTAACTGCCAGTTGGCATAGTACTTGCCATTGATGGAATGGCCTCTTTGAAGATAATCAATATACATAATATCTTTTTCATCCCCAAAAGATGAGGCCATCACCTTTGCTGCAGATGAAACCTACCTTAGCTTTTTTTGGAGCAGACGAGGAGGTGTGTTTTCACTGTATAGATTGTCTCTAGCTCAACGTAATGAACCCAACAGTTATTGTGGGTTAGAAAACATTCAAGGAAACCAGCTGGATCTATCTCAAACAATGTTAGATTTTCCTGGATGTGATCAGGTGTCAGAATACATGGCACACACCAAGCAGAAACCTTCATCATGCAAAGTTCATTGTGCAGAATATTCTCAACTCTCTCACAGGATAAGCTAATAGCATTTGCTATTTGATTTATAGTCAATCACCTGTCATCCATCACCATGTGGTGAACATGACCAATGTTTTCCTCTGTGGTGGTAGTTGCAAGACATCAAGACCTTGAATCAACTTCAAGACTAAACCTTTCCCCTCCTAAATTCAGCTGCCCACTTTTGCACTGTTGATAAAGTTGGAGTGTTATCTTCTAATGTAGCAAATTTTTTTTTTTTAATACAGTAACCTATTCAGTAAAAAATGAATTCATTAATAAATAAGTACTGATTCGTTTGAATTTGATAATTCCCTGATTTTGGCAAATATTTTAAAATGGTGTAGTGATTTTTTGCTTTCATTTTGGGGGAAAAAGCATCTGTTTTGGTGGTATCTAAATTAAGTGAATTGAAAATGCAAAAAAAGATGATGTTAAAAAATATTGGTTACAGAAAAATAAATGCTTTTCCATTATTAGTACTATATATACTCACGTATCATGTGCCGTTTGAAGACCTAATTTTGAGGCAATTTTAAGGGAGTTGCATCATACATAAGATATAAAATTAGCGTATGTAATACTAGCCCTGGCTATGCTGTTGACCAAACTATATATCTATTTACTGTAGTCAAATTAGCTTCAAAATTAGGTCTTCAAAAGTCACATGATAGGTGAGTATGTATGGTACTTATGATAGCAGTTAAGAATGCATCTGCCAGTTTCACTATCTTGAGAACTGGCTTCACATCCTTGATTTAATTTATCAACTATTCAAAAGGGATATTACTTCACATGCCTTTAACAGAAACTCACTTATGGAGTTATACAGTCAGAAGTGAGGTACCATTGTGTACTGTATGAGATTACATTTACAAAGAGTCAAAAACTAAGTGAATAGATTCTTCATGTCTCTCATATGGAATGTTTTGTTTTTTTTGTGGGTGAGGCTCTAAAACATTTAATCACTCATGTTTGTCAATATCCTGGAGTGGGTGAAAAACATTGAATCAACCTTGTTTGTCAATCTCCTGACAATCCAAAGTTGGTTCCAAAGTTAATGAAATGTAGCAGCTGATGGGAGTCTTTGAAAAGACTGTTTTGAAGAGTGGAAGATACATAAATGTAAGATCCAAAAGGGGGTACTTTGAAGGTGTATAGATGTTAACGGCGTTATCTACGCTTGGAGTGTATAAATACAAGTGAGAAGGAGGCGACCATTTGCTTTTACAGTATTGCTCAGAAGATGTCCAGCGGACATCTTTTGCACTTTACATGGTGCTGTGAACAGGATACTTTGAAAGCAATGAAAGTTTGAAGTCACTGATCATGGAATTTACTAAATGCCAAGGCTTACCCATTACCAGTCACTATGGAACAAGAGTATTTGAAACTAATGGGACAACTTGTGGAGTTACAAAAGGAAAACATTGAGCTCAGGAAGGAGATGATTCACGGCCGCCCCAACAGTTCATATGTTAAAAAACCTGAATGAACTACGGGCGACCAGAAACAAACAGGCTACTATTTGAATTAGTAGGACCTACAAGGCTCAACTCTGCTATGGAAGAGAGTCTTCTACAACAGATATGACTGGTCGCAGTGAAGGGACTACACAAAGAAGTCCACCGACAGAAGTTCCACTCCATGACTTAGAATGAAGGTGAGTCGGTGACGCATTTTCTCACTAGATTACATGACCAAGCTAGGTTTTACAGGTTCAACAGCAAATGTCCAAATGAAGAAACTTGTGGGCAGCAAGTGAACTACTTGGAAGACATGGTCGCCAGGCAGATGATAGCAGGGTTTACCAATCGAGAGCACCAAAGTAGGATATTGGCAGAGACAGCCTCCCTTGTTACCTCTAAGACAGAAGTCCGACCTCTTTCCCATTTCGGCCTTGTGCCACATTTTCTGTAGTTTACAGAAATAAATATTGCTTTTTCAGTATTGCTCAGAAGTATGTCCAGCGGACATCTTCTGCACTTTACAGAAGGGACTCAAGTGTCATTATTCAATGGAAACTACTTTTTAGCTGATGACTAATACTTTAAATGGCTGTATACTTTCCGGACAAACTATATACCAACAAAATTTTGGAGTTCGAATGCTGAAGGTAGCATCAATCTGCTAAGTGACTTTTACTCATATTAATCCTTTATATATGTATATATATATTAAAAAGAAAAGAGAAACCGCAAACTTTTTGTGTTGTAATGTGGATTTTTTCAAAAAATATATTATCCTTTATTTTCCATAATTTTGCTGCACATGTTTATGCACAAATAATTTTGTCATTGACTATATATATATATATATATATATATATATATATATATATATATATATATATATATAACAGTGATCTCATCCCACAATCCTCACTCTTGCATCATATGCAGCCTCCTTTGTAAATCACTAGTGGGTCTTATGTGCCACTTAAGATTATCACACAAAATTTCATAACTGAATCAATTAAGTTGTCAGATCCTCATACATCGAAACCAACGGGAGAGTCCATTATTATATATATAGGATGCTGAAAGATTCTTCACTTTGTAAAATTTGTGAAGTTAAACTTTAAAGATCTATATAAATTAAGATTTAGTAAAATGAACAAATTAAACATTCTAATTATTGCAGGCACATTATTAGAACATATTTTATTAATTAGTTTCAGATAAAATAAAAACCTCTTTTTATTGAAAATTATTAATAAGCTACAAGATCCCTACTGAATGGATACCAACTTAAATTAAAATTTAATTAACTTATAATTTACAGAAAAGAATAAAAAAAATCATTTAAAAGATATATAACATTATAAATCTACTAGATTTCTGCTTTTAAGTACATACAGTTATTAATATATTCAAAATTTTATACCCTTTAAGTTCAAAAAGTCAAACTTTTTTCTGTTAAATATTCATGCATATTTTTGTGTTCATTATTACATCCATGCACCATGTATAAATAAAATACAAGGTATCAAGTAGTCAATCTTAGTGGCTGTCAGAATAACAGTCCAAGACAATGTACTAAGAGGAGTCATTAAGAAATCTTTCTATTTCCTGTCATACAAAAGCTGTCTTCATAAGTAGAAACATTTACAAGGTCAAATTTTCTCCCTACCTCAACCTTCAATTAAATCATCATTCTGATATTTGGTCATTGAAATACTAATTTTGGAAAGTGAGTGATGTTGAAAACTTTTCAGCACCTCCCTCACATAGGTATGCAATAGTAGTGAAAAATTATTAGACACTTGCAAAATAGTTAATTTACTTTTAATGCTTACATTTACTTTAAATTTACACGGATGATTATTTTGATATTAAATTAACAATTACTAAAAAAAAAATGAATATTTTTTAAGAGTACCCATGAGAATACATGGACCAGATAAACTATAAAGACTATAAATATATATGTAGGAAAGCCTTCAGATGTGAAGTGGATGTTTTTAATCCGAGAAAGTTATCAAATGTGACAGACGCATGAAAAAGGTCAGAGGGTGCTATGGCTAAAATATGGTGGCAAAAGCTGGTAAAATGTGATTACTTTTCAATAAAACTTTTTAGTACACTTATGTAGACATTTTATTAAGAGAAAGATAGAATAAATATTATACATAGATGAATTTCTACTGATGAAAACCATTTTCTTTGAGGTAATATTAAATAAAAATCAATTAAACCTGCATTTTAATATTTTCAACATAATTTAAACAACATCCTTTCTTTATAATGCAGATGAAGAAAATGGAATTCCTGTTTGCTCACCGATTCAGACACTTAATGATTTACTTCACTGGGAACCAGGACAAGACAGCCTCTGTATTAGCAGAGAACCCTTACAGCCACGAGCTCCTCATCCTCCGCGTCCACTTACTCTTGTGTGCCATGACATGATGATGGGTTATTTAGAAGACAGGTAATCTAGAGGAACAAATTTTCCAATTCAAATTTTCTTTAATTCCACTTCAGGTTTTAGGGAATTTCGTTTTCTTTTCCCATTTTCAGTATAGAATTCCGTTTTTACCCATGTTTTCAGTATAGATTTCTGTTTTTGTTTCATTATAATATTTAATGAGAAAGTGTAACAATATATAAATATTATTAAAACAAGAAAATAAAAGGAAAATCAAAAGTTTTACTTCAATAATTTGCTCCAGCTTGATATGGTTTCATGCCTCATACTTCTACTCTTAATCTAACTTGATGAGTTTCTGTGACAACCTTTGCAAAAAAAGCAAAAATCCTAAATAAGAATTAAGTGAAAATGGCAAAACCTACAGAAAAGTAGCACTACAAAGTCATCTCGAGACTAAAAGCTACATTATTTATTGAAATTATTAAATAAAATTTTTGAAAAAAGTCTAGTTTGTAAAATTTGGCTTTCTGAAATGACAAACTGTCTATCACTATGTGATAAGAAAACTAAAGGATAAAACAAAAAGACAAAATGTTGTCTCAACACCACCACCACTTCACCACCACCTTTTTTTATTAAATCAAGCCAACTTCATAAAACTTAGTTGCTAAATATTGTAAACCAGGCTTGTCAAACTAAGGGTCCCCTAAGGGCAACATGGTTACTTATGTGTTGTCATGAGGGCCACACATGACAACCAGTTGTTCACATTGCAACTAACTGAAGTCATTAAATAAAATTTATTGCAGAATATTTTTGTTAATTAAACTTAGAGATACACAATCTGCATACAAATGTTTTAGCAGGATTCATGTATACAAAGTAATGAAGTAGTTTAGTAAAAAATTGAAATTTTAAACAACAGCATATACTTGCAATTTCCAACTGCATCAAATACATTGTACAAAAATTACAACAGTTCAAAACCGAACATTTATTTGCCATTATTCAGTCAGTTTTAGTTTTTTGTTCTGAGGCTTGACACAGCTTTTTGCTGACAATTTTTGGTATGTCTGGCTGACTTTGATCAGAAAAGACAAATATTGATCAGTTAGCCTTGTTTTCTGAGAAATTTTTGTTGATTTCATAAAGGAAAATAACTATTTACACATATAGTTAGAACCAAATATTGCAATAATCTTTCTGGCAAACTTTCTGAATTTTTTAAACTTTTCAAGAAGGTATGAAAAGAACCCAGGTATTCCTAATTCAAAATACTTTGCTCCAACTGCATTTCTAATAGTTCCATCTGCAGGATTCCTTCTGTCTTGGCAACATCAAAGGTGAATGGTGCTGAGAATAATGCAAACTGATGTTAAAAAGATGAGAAATCACTAAATCTTTTCTGAAATTCCTTTGACAACATTCTAGGTGATGGTCATACTCAGCAAAGCTAAGTACAGTCTTGGTATTGGCAGTGCTTTTCAACTCTCAAAGAAAATGAACTAAATTTTCATTTGACAATTGTGACTTCCACAAGTTTACTTTTGTAATGAAACACTTGATGTCATCATACAACTGTCTGATAAGTTTGTTTTTTTTTACCTTGTACTTTCAAATTAAGACCAGTTAATTGTACAGTAATGTCCACAACAAAAGCCAGATCTTGTAGCCAACTTTCATCTTTTATTTCATATGTTTTGATCTTTCATCTCCAGCACTTTGTGACATGATAGCCAACAGACTTCTCTGTAGAATGGAACATCACTGAACTGATTAGCCATATCTTCCATTAACTGACTGAACTGACAGTGGTTGAGAACATGGCCTTTGATATAGTTTGCTGTCTTTATAGCCAAGTTAAGCACATGATCCAATTTTAAAATCTTTGAACATAAATTTTGCTGATGAATAATACAGTGAAAATGTGCAAATGATGAATCTGGATGGGAGTTTTCTAGTTTTCTTTGTAACTTGGCATCAACACTATTATGTTTGCCAACCATATTAGCAGCACCGTCAGTAGATTAGCATGCATGTTTCCTCAAAACTATACTCATGCAGAACCTGCTCAACTCTCTCAAAGATGTCCTGGCTTGTTGTAGTATCATGCATTGGAATCAATTTAAGCAGTTCTTCATAAATATTAAATTCACTGTCACAGGCCCTGATGAAGATTGTAAGCTGTGCTATTCCAGTGAGGTCAATGGTCTCAGCATTAGTAATAGAAAAATGTTCAACCCTTGATGATACAGCTATCAGCTGTTGTTTCAAATCACCTAATATTTCATCAATTTGTTTAGCAACAGTGTTCCTGGTTAATGAAATGTCTTTGAATAAGTGTTTTCTCTCAACATACAATTTCAGTTGTTTTTACAATGCATTGTTTTACAAAATTTCCTTCACTGTAAGATTTCTGACTCATGGCTATCGTTCAACTGAATTCATCACTTGCAGTAACGGAAGTGATATTCTGTTTCTGAATTTTCGTAAAAAAAGTCTGTTGCTGTGTCAAGTTGGCCTTCAATTCCTTGAGTTGGGAAATGTGCACTGGGCCTTTATATTTATCGTAAAATACATGGTTTGTTTCATAATGTCTTTTCCCGTGAAATTTAGCTTCAGTATTTTCTCTTTTTAGGGTCTGGACTTAATCAATTGATTTTTTTCCTAAGTCTTTTTCACCTCAATCCTCCTTCCAGTAGTGGCATTTGACACACTGGTACCTCTGGCCTTGAGGTCGGAGATTCCTCCATTGTTGACTTACTGGAATAGGAATTTCAAATGCGTCATAAAGGACTTCCATTGGAATCTCTTCGGTATTTTCCATGACTTCTGTAGTGTGTCTGGGTCTAAATTGATTCCAATGTCTTTTGCACCAAAATTTTTCCCCTTTTATGTCATATAAGACCTGTCCAATTCTTTTGGCTATCATTCCTACTTCCCAATACATTTTTCCAACCCTAAAGTTCTTGAAAAAAACTTTGTCACCTGGCTTATACACGTTAGTCATCTGGTTTTCTTTTTTAGCAGTTTTCTTCGCCAGACTAGGCAACAGCCTGTTGAACACAGAGCATATTTTTCTTGCAAATATTAACGCTGCTGATGATAACCCTGATGTCATATTCGGGTTGGCGTGATTCTATATACTGCCCAAAATTTCTGAATACTTCTTTCATTCGTGTCCACGCCTTGATGTTTCTTCAATGCTCGCTTAAAGGTGTCCACAAATTTTTCCACCTGTCCATTCGATCTTGGATGATATACTGGCATTGTCACGTGATAAATGGACAATGATATACAGAATTCCTTGAATTCTCTTCCCATTAACTGCATTCTGTTGTCGCTGAAAACAGTTTTAGGGAGTCCAAAACGACTAAAAATTTCATTAAGTGCGTTTATTGTATTTGTTGCAGTTGGATGTCTGCACTTAACAATATCCTGGCCACTTAGTGAAAGTGTCCACCATGAGCAGATAATAAGATTCATTTATGGGCCCTGCATAGTCGATATGCAATCAAGTCCATGGGACATCTGTCTTTGGCCATGGTTGAATCTTTACTGGTGGATCCCTTGCTGCCAGTTGACATCCTTTACACTGTTTCACCAAATTTTCTTTGTCTTGGTCCATCCTTGGCCAATAAGTATAGCCTTTCATTAGAGATTTCATTCTCGAAATCCCTGGATGGCCCGTGTGAAATTCTTTCAGAATTTTCTTTTGCAGAGTAAATGGCATTACAACTCTATCTGCGTATAGTAATACCTGTTCACAGATTGAAAAAGGTGACACACTAATTCTTTTTTTAGTTTTCTAGTTCAACCAGACTTGCTTTTTCATTTTTTTAATGAAATCATCATTCACCGCTGCTTTTATCACATCTTCTAGCGTCACCGGTAGTTCTCTAATAGTGTTGCATAACAGACCTGACAATTCACTTTCATCTCTTAGCGCCGCTATTACTGTTTCTTCCAGTGGTTCCGTATATTTAGGTATCAATCTTGATAACGCATCGGCGTGACCTAGCTTCTTTGAAGGCACATATTCTATTTTGAAATTATAATTCAATAGAATTACACCCCAATACTGTAGTCGATTTGCCGTGTGAGTTGGTATATCTTTTTTGAACCAAATATTGTTAACAGTGGTTTGTGGTCTGTTTGCAGAATAAATTCTCTTCCATATAGAAACCTGTGAAATTATTTTACAGCATAGATTATTGTTAAACTCTCTTTTTCAATTTGGCTATCATTTCATTCTGCGGGCAGTAACGTTCTCAAGGCATGTGCTATTGGGTTCGTAGATCCGTCCTGGAATTTATGAAGCAATACCGCACATAGTCCCTCATTACTGACATCTGCTGCTATAATGATTTTCTTCTTCGGGTCGAAATGTGCTAATGATAGGTCTGCTAGTAGACAGCTTTTTATTTTTTTAAAAGCATGTTCGCATTCTTTCGACCATATCCACTTTGTGCCCTTTTTCACCAAATTATTTAAAAGGAGCTCTCATATCATACATTTTTGGGATATAAATGCTATAGTAACTTACTAATCCCAAGAAGACCTGGAGTTTAGCCACATTATCAGGTGCTGGCATATTTTTTATAGACTCAGCTTTTTCTGGCTCCGGTTTTCTTCTTTTACTGTCAATGATCTGCCATAAATATTTTAAGAAGAATTTGCATTTTTCAGCACTCAGCTTGAACCCGTATTCCTCAATTCTCTGAAATACTGCTCTAATATGCGTTTTGTGTTGGGCCTCGTTTTCACTTTTAATCAATCTAAATATGTGATTGCATACTCCATACCAGCCAACATTGTGTCTATTATTTGCTGGAACAGGCTTGGAGCTACCTTCAATCTAAAAGGAAAATGATTTAGTTTAAAAATCCCTTTATTCATGTTTATTGCCAGGTACTTCAAACATTCTTCACTGACTTTAACCGGAAGGTAAGCCTCCGACAAGTCCAACTTTAAAAACACTCCACCTCCGTTTAATTTAGTGAATATATCCTCCGGAGACGGTAGAGGGTACGCATGGTCTTTCACACAATCATTTAAGC